AGTCTACTTGTTGTGAGGTGAAGCCAGGCCTCATTGAAGCCAGCCTAATTGACCTATGGTGAAGCCAGGCCCTCAAACGCAATGAGCCAATGACAGTGTGCAGCTAACCCAATACACTTGGACATTCTCTGCTTTACGTATATTGGTAAGTTATATTATTAACCTTACTTTCATGTTATTAGTTAACCAGATGTCAAATTAAACTTAGTCTTGTCAACATTTTGGAAAAAAAAAAAATGTTTACATTGAGATATTGTTTAAAATGTTGGCTGGCAGACATCACGTTGTTGAGCTGGCAAAGTTCCTGTGAAACCCTCCACCTTCCCCAGCTCCACCTGAATAGATTTGCTAAGGGTATTTTAATATATGTTATTTGCAGCAGCAGCAACATTTCTTACATGTTCACAGCAGCGTGTCTGTGTATGTATTAGCACAAGCAAGTCTCTTTACTTTTTAAGTACAGAACATTTAAGCTAAATTAATTTTTATAATATATTACAGAATTTTATTATTGGGCATTCATCTGATATTGACAATAAACTTGAAAATAATTAAGTTCAGTTCATCATGCAGCAGTAATTCATCAACACAAAATCCAAAGTCCACAAAATAAAAGTAAAGGGATAGTTCACTCAAAAATAAAAAAATGTCATACAGGTTTGGAACAACATGAAGCAGGCTAAATTAAAACAAAATTGCAATTTTGGGGTGAACAATCCCTTTAAAAGTAGCAGTCCATGAGCTTCATGCAGGTGATAGTAATTGGGAAGACCTGCGTAAGCTGATGGGACTAAGCCAAAGCTCAGTTTCTGTCTCATATAGAGTGTAAATGTTTTAGCTCAATCCTGCTCCCAGAGATCCGGCTTCCTGCAGAGTTTAGTTTCACTTTTAAACAAACAACTGAACCAGTTATAATGTTCTTTCAGCTCATTCGAAAATTGCAAGCAGGTGTGTTGGAAATAAATTCTGCCGGAAAGTAGATCATCGCTGTTGTAGAAGCTTAAATTATATGGTGGCCGAATACTTTGGAGGAGGAAACAACAACACGGGAACTGGTGTCCTCAATCTGACCTCTAACAACATATCCATACATACATTATATACCCATCAGCCCCATGACAGAATAATGGAAATAAAAAAAATGCCCCACTGATGCCTCCACAACAATAGCAGTTGCACAGCAGCAATTATGGTGACAGAAACCGAATCTTCACCAACGCATCAAGGATGTCAGCTGACAGGTTCCTGCATTTCCAGGGATAATATCTCTAATACCATTTAAGGAATAACAATCTAGTACAATACAGTGTTATTGCTAACTAAATTATTTGTTATTTGAAAGTTAGCTAAATGTTCAGTGAATTGAAATAAAGCTTAAAGGGTTAGTTCACGCAACAATGAAAATTCTGTTAGTATTTACTCACCCTCATGTTGTTACAACACCGTAAGATCTTCGTTCATCTTCAGAAACACAAATTTTTGGTGATCTATATAGATATTTTTGGTGCAATCTGAGAGCTGGATCACCCCTCCATAGTAGTCCATAGGCTTCTTGAGGGATTGAAACTTGCCGTCCTCGAAAAGTTAGTAAAGACATCGTTAAAATAGTCCAAGTGACTACAGTGGCTCAATCTTAACTTTATCAAGCGACGAGAACACTTTTTGTGCACAAAACAAACAAAAATAACGACTTTATTTCAACTTCTCCGTGGGCCTCTAGTCAGTTAACGTAGTGTTATAGCGTAGAGCTAAGCGTCACTATTGGCCGACGCTGGTCATGTGTGTGATGCGTGTAACGTACAATGACAGAAGCTTATGCTATTAAACTAGTAACCTGACTCGAGGCAGAGAGAGAAGTAAATGAATAGGTGTTTTTTTGCACACAAAAAGTGTTCTTGTTGTTTGATAAACTTAAGATTGAGCCACTGTAGTCACTTGGACTATTTTAACGATGTCTTTAATAACTTTTCGAGGCCAGCAAGTTTCAATTCCTCAAGAAGCCTATGGACTAGTATGGAGGAGTGATCCAGCTCTCAGATTTCATCAAAAATATCTGAATTTTTTTTCCGAAGATGAACAAGGTCTTACGGGGTTGGAACGACATGAGGGTGAGTAAATACTGACAGAATTTTTGGGTGAACTAACCCTTTAAATAAATAAATAAAATAAGTTGAAATGCTAAAATACAGAAAACTTAAACTGAAATAAAAATAGAATATAAATCACTTAAATATTAATATAAAATAAAATAATTTGGAAAAAAGCGAACTATTAAAGGGGTCATATGACGCGATTTCATGTTTTCCTTTTTATTAAGTGTGTTAGCTGTAAGTGCAAGTAGATCTGAGATTAATCTACATTAATAATAATACAATTCAATAGGCCTATGTATATCCCACATTTCAGTGCAGTTAAATGGGCTTATGTGTAGGTTGCAACTCAAAAAAATCTTTAAGATAGAGTCTTCATTTGTACATTTATGATCCAACCATAATGTAATAGAACGAATGAAACATTGACTGTCCACCATGGTTGCCTCTATCAGCCTGTAGGCTCAAGTGTTTGTGGAGGAGTCGGGTCTGATTTGGTGTGAAAATTCCCAAAATGTGGCGTCATGCGTTCTCTTCTACTTGAGCTCACATCCATACAGCAGCCATTAGTAAGCAGCGGGAATTGCTAGCATTAGTGTTTCAAATCGTTATCGTTTAATAGCCCAGCCCAATGATCTGGTATCAGCTTGTTCATCTGCGTTTTCCGGATCAGATTTGGGCTCGAATTGATAAAATAGAACTGATTAACACCTGTCAATATTGCTTTGGGAGCTGATGTTCCAAATATGGTAATGGGCGTACAAGCTTAAGGTTTTTCGGCCAACCTTAATAACCTTGATCGCTGGCCAATCATATCACACTGCACTTTTATGTTTAATGATGAGCTTTGTAAAAATCAAGCGTTTCAGAAAGTGCATAGAGACACGTACATTTTTTTACCTAAAACCGCATATACAAATTGCATTAAACTAAATATACAAAATAATGTTCTTTTTAGAACCATCATATAACCCCTTTAATAAATACTACAATAATATATTAATTATACTAAAATTACACTGGCACAGTACCATTTCAAATCAAAAAGAAGAAGCATGGGAGACAAGTAAAAACAAGCGAGTATAAAAGCATAAAACTCAGTTTTATGATAGCACACTGCTTGATGAACAAATATCAGCTAACAGCCCTGACAACAGTAGAAGACTAGAGTCAACATGTGATATTTACCATGAATGCTTCCAGAGACCTTTATGGTCATTTTCTTTACACAATACATTCAAATCCACCCACTACAACAAGCAAACAGCTTCAGATCCAAATTAATAATTGGATGGATAAAACAGCACTTATTTAAATCAGCTCTCAAACCAAATAATCTCCAGAGTGATGATTACATTTTAACTGAGAACTGATTCAACAGAAATTAGGAGGGATAATATGGTATTCTGTGTGATAAGTGCAAAGACCATTTCAAACTAGAGATTTAAGATATCAGATTGGCGGTAAAACGTAGCAATGACTCACTGGACCTATTTCAGAGTGAAAAAAAGAAATAATGGAATGGAAGGGTCAGCCAATGTGATCTCTTTTGAGAGCAAAGGAACAAAAAAGCGTGTCATTTACTCAGTTAGCACATGGGAATGGTCAAATTTCATTTGCTGTAGACTACTCAAATGATCTTGAATAATCTCAGCGCAAGAAATTCATCCAGCTACAGAGCAAAAAGAAATCTTAAAATAACTTATAAGAATTGTCTGCCGTCTTCTCAGTAAAAATATGCATGAACATTGTCACATTGTCACTATGTTAAATGATTGGCTTGTTTTCTTCAAAGCTCAAATGTAAAGGCAAGGTTTAAAAAACAAAACAAAACATATGGCCAACTATGATTTAACTATTTTACATGTTAATATATTTATATTTATAATGTGTATTTTTTATTTTTTTTGGTTCGCATTATGGACCTAGAATGTAGTTATGTAACTCCCAATGGAGGGACAGAAAGCTCTCAGATTTCACCAAAATGTCTTCATTTTTTGTTCTTACTTTCGTTTAAAACTTAAGTTTCACTAACCTTAAAAAAAAAAAAAAAAACATGGCAGCACTGCTCAAACGCATTGGTTTATTGTGTGGCATTATGATCTAGCACAGCAACACAGACTTTCCCACAACATCCTATTGGAATATTCTCAATATCCTTTTGATTTCTACAAAACAGGGAGTTCAGCTGACACTAATAATACACTGTCAGGGTAAACCGTCCATGCTGAACAAGGTTAACATTCATAGAACACCATGGAAACATGAGGCTATGCGAGAAGCTGTCCTTGAATCTTGAAATGTAAAAAAAAAAAAAAAAAAAGATAAGAAAAAAATATTTGAAAGTGTCCTTGTACACATCGTTTCCCACACACATTGTATTAACTAAAAAAAAGAGGTGACATAAAAGGGTAAGTAAATTCAAATTCACAGAGCTCTGCAATGTTTTCTATAAAACTAGTTTCGTTTCATCAGGAAAATTGCTATCTGAGAAGGCTGATGGATGTAGGCAAGCGTTTCAAAATGCTAGTTTTCGAATGGAAAACAGGCCAAGGCCCCAAAGACACTCCCCTCGAGGATATCTGCTCCACTCAATCCCTTAAGCCTCAATCCTTTTATTTTCTTCTTATTTTCAGAGTATACAAGGGAGAAATTCAGACTCACGGCAGTGATAAAGTCAAAAGCGCTGAATCAATTTGACGACTTCAGTGTTCAGAACATTAAAGATACAGACCTGAAATGAATTTTTTTGTTCCAGTCCGTGTGCTTTAAACAAGTTTCGGGCCACTTAAATAAATCCGAAGTTCACGCGCACAGTTCAAACTGTTAGCAAAGTAACTTCTCTTAACAATTCCAAGAGATTAGATCTGGCATTTTCACACATAGAATAATAAAACGGCCTGTATTTACCGTGTCCGTAAATTTGTTGGACTGGGTTGCCCATCGTAGACTGAAAGGATGTCAAAGTCCTCCTCTAAGGCAAAGCCTTGAAATACCAACTGTATCCGGTTGTGTTCCTGTGCCACAATCACCCATGTGCAGTTGGCGTAGTTAGGATATCCATACGGGTATCCGGGGCTTTCTATTGTCCCATTTGGACTGTGTAGTGTGTGACTGCAGTTTTGAGCTGTGAAAGAGAAAAAGAGAAGAAAATATTATAACATGTCAAAAAGTAAATACAAGGCTTTAAAGAACCCCTGTTACATGAAATGCAAGTTATGATCTTGTCTGTCTACTTTGTGGTTTTAATATGCTTGAAGAGAAATGACCAAATTATAACAAGTCAACACCATTGCATTGGTGCAGTGGATTGAGTACTTTTGCTCCATAAGACTGCAGTGTACCATCTAAAAATACCAGCTGGGCTCTGTGCAAGTAGGGCTGGCGGTATATATATATATATATATATAAGATAAGGCAATACAGTTTATCATACATTACGATAGAGTTAGCTGCTGCAGTGAAAGTACATAACCCAAATAATCCTAAACATAAGGCATTTTTTTATATTACGGGTTTAAAATAACTTGTAAGATATAGGCCTTGTTAAAATGAAGGCCTTCGCAGCTTCCCTGTCAGATGCTCTGACACTGACAGATACATACTAGTGCTGGCAGATAGGCTAATTGCTTTGCATTTAAGATGAGGCGTTTTCCTCAGCGCATAACTTACATTTTACAGGCATATTCTCCAACTGTAAACGTTAGAAAGACATGCAAATATTTCCATTTTGCTATCAGGAGTGGTCGAGCCTTTAAGCAAGCGAGTCTCTGCGCAAACAAGTGAACAAGCGCTGCTGCGCACCAAAGAGACAGAGCTCAAAGAATACACGTGCCATAATTCTGACTAAAATATAGCTACAAAATGTACTATTGTATATGTGGAATTTTAAAACTACAAATAAGTATGTTTATGATAGCAGTAGGCTAAACAGTAAAATTATGTTGTGTTCATAAGTTAACATTTTTGTATTTGTATAGTTTCATTTTTAATGTTATGATTCTAACTTCTGCTTTAAAACACTTTTTCTGTTTAAAGTACTTTTTGTTTTTTGCACAGAAAAGCATGTCTAACCATCTAGAGTCTGGTTACATTTTATAGCCTATTTGTTTCCACAGCCTTCAATATGAACACTGTTTGTAGGACAACATTGGGCTGCATGTGAAATTGCATTGTTAAATAAATAGGCAACAGATTTTTTTTTTTTTTTTTTTTTTTTTTAACCAAGTAGAAACAGTATAATATCGATATGGTCGATATGGCATATGTCTGAATTGCATTATGCGGTTGACCATATCGATATTATACCTTTTCTACTTGGTTAAAAAAAAAAAAAAAACAAACAAAAAAAAAAAAAAAATCTGTTGCCTATTTATTTAACAATGTAATTTCACATGCAGCCCCTTTGGATAAAAGCATATATTTGGATAAAAGCATATAATCCAGGTTTAAATATTAGCAATACATTATTATCTATTTGATAACTTAGTCATGCCAAAGGCTGAGAGATACATAAAACACTTTTAAATAGGCCATTCTGATTATTAAAAGATGAGTTTTAAGGGATGTAATTATTGACAGCAAGGGGGACTTTAAGGTACCACTGCATTCAAAGGACAAATCCATTTTAAAACTGCATGCTGTTATTAGTCTAAAAGATCCTGAAAATGAAATTGTATATTTTGGAAATGTATTTCTTATTAGTAAGTTGGCGTAGGACATTTGCAAACAATGATTTTGTGATTTACAACCTTCAGAAATTACGAATATGTTCATTTGCCAGTTTGCTCTGTGCTTTAGAAGGATTCATTTACATTAATTAATGTGTTGTTTGATCTGACAGGTCATTTAATCATTGGCTAGTAGGCTACAATAAAATGCTTCCATATTAAACTCCTTATAATGTCCATGTAATTATGTAAGCGTTTACTCAAGGTGCATATGAGACCAGCTAAAATGACTGTAATATTTATCTGTTTTTACCCTGCATGTAAAGTCCTAGAGCAATAATATTCAATTTCAAGAGCCAATTAAATTAGCATTTGGTCTAGTACATGGATACTGTTAGCTGCCCTTGCTATTGCCACAGCTTTATCAGTGGTCAATAAGAAGTTTCCACAGAAATTCTAAGAAGGAGGAAAGAGAAGAAATGATACCACCCTTGGTTATTAATTAGACTAATTTTAATAACTCCATATCGCCTGCAGCTCAGGCTGCACTCCTCAGCATTAATTGCATTTCTCTTTTGCATACTTGTCAGCGACATCTTATAAAATATTGCACTCAATCTGAAATTTTAATAACTGTGTGTGGCTCCATCCATCAGTGAAAAGCCTGGCCTAAATTACTAGTTCTGGACAGGTCCGTAGCCACACCTTTAATTAATTGTCCCTTCTTGCTTTAATAATCGTTAATGTTCTCCGAATTTCCTTCTCACTTTTTTTTTATTTTATTTATTTTTTTATTCCATCCTCTCCAGGAAACTTGCATATCTGCTACAGTCACACAGAACCCGATGGCATGGTCCAACTACTCCCTGCAGTTAAAATAGAACAAAATAAATAAATAAATAAATTAATTAAATAAATGTATTATGTATACCTAATGTATACCTAATCCTACAGTTTATCCATTTATTTGATTCTTAAATGGAATTTCTGTGGGGTTAGGTGATTAAAACAGCATTAGGAATGCATAATTAGGGGACATCTGTTATCACCAAAGCCCATATTTCATGAAAAAAAAAATAACCAACACCCGCTAACAAATGAGAACCCAGCATGTCCGCATATAGCACATGTTTGTCTAACATATCAGAGTGGAGATTACACTGAGATTACGCTTAATGAAAAACCAAGCTCGCTGAGCATGTCACATGTGCACAAATATTCGAAACATTTACCGAAAGCAAACACAGCGTGTCATAAACTCATATAACGTTTCTAATGCAAAGATCCTAAATGTTCAACATAGAATATAATCATGTAAGAAAAAAAAATAAATACATTTTCTCATTCAGTTTGCATACACTTTGAAGGATTTTGTAGGATAACTTCCGAGCACAACTGGGATTTGGATTTCTTAAGGCGGAAAGCGTTGCCTGCCAGCACAGAATTTTAATAATTAAGTGAAAATGTATCTGAGTAAGGAAAAACCTGAGGTGCTTTTTTTAAGCTAAGTATTTCTCAAACAACTGGAAAACAGTTGAGTGGTATTCAGATAATCCGCTCTTGGGCAGTGGCCACATTTAGTGTGGTTTTCCAAATGATAGTGGAACAGACCGTTTAGGATTTGGAGGATGTCTTTCTTTGAGTTTAAAAGGCATGGTGCCTGTGCTAAAAGCACTCGACACAAATTATTTAGGCTAGAAGTGTCACAAAATAAACTGCTAAGCAGAGAAAGCCAGGATTCATTTGGGAGCTAAGATGTTTGTGGCTCTTCACGATTCATTTCAAGCCTGTTTGCTTGACTCATATTCTAACCATACTACAGTAGATTAGCATAAAACTTGAAACTGTGTACTTATTTTGAGAAGGTAGAATGTGCAAGGGAAGGAAACGATCCATCATTTTTGATCTCAATTCAATAGAAATGTTTGTGTGAGGCTGTGCCAGCATGAACCATTGTGAAAAACACTTGACCTCTGGATACAGACTCTTTTATGGCTCTGTGGGGTTTTGAGGTCTTCTGTGAACCACAAAAATGTCATTTCACCATTGAGAGGAATGCTGGCCAAAAATGAAGAGATTCATTCATTCTAAAATATCAAGAATCTCTGTCCAACAAAGATCAAGAACAAAATGGACACACTGCTCCAGGGGGACAGATGTGTTTAAAATGAGATTCTTCCATAATTAACCTTCTAATAAGCAATGCATGGTTTTGTACGCAAAAGCTCAATTTTCTCTCAGCATCTGTTGTAAGGACAAAGAATATACATTGTCCAATTAGTACAAAACATCCTGATCAATATACAGTAGGCCTACGATTCTTTAATTCACAACCTTTATCACAGAAGAATAGCCAATAGTTTAATGTTTTAAATGTTGTGTTTGTGAATTTTGTTTAATTTTGTCTTCTCTGTTTATGATCTTTGACGTGTACCCCCTAAACCTGCATTATATGACTGATAGACAACAACGGTTTGACCGAAAAATGTCAAAATTGAAAATACTGTAAAAACAAAGACACCTACATCTTGGATGTCCTTGAGGTAAGCTAAAACATATCAAAAATTAATTTGAAAGTGAACTATCCCTTTTAAGGTGCATTATACTAAAATAAGGTTTACGTTGATGGATAAATTGAAAAAAAATATGAAAAATGTTTTCTACAAGGCATGGCATCCTAAGAAAATATTTAGACCAAAAAGGTAAAAATTTGTTGAGAAACATATAACGTATGCTTATATAAACGTAACAAGCATGGTATTTTTTTTTACAAATACAGATACCTTTGTCACATTTTAGAGCAACACCAAGTAACCTTTCCTCTGCGGACGCCCTACAGGTTAGAAGCGGAATTGTCCATTACCGCAGCTTACCGCATCCTACTGTCGCACACAAACTCGTTGTTTATCCAGCACCAGCTTTGAAATGAACGATGTCCACAGAATAGGTAGAGTGTGTTGCATGATTTCATGAAAGTATTATGTATTGCCACATCAAAAAATGAAGAAAAACAAAATAATGACTATTGTAACGCTTGACGTAAAGCAAGTCAAATTTGAAGTTTTCTTATGTCTCGTTAGAACTACAGAAACTCCTGGCGATCTTACATAGCGTGGTTATAGCAGATATAGGACCGCAAAGCGAATCCACAAGTGCCTTTCACCCGGTTATGACTTAATGAACCACTGAAACAATTTTGGTTCATAATTTTATGGTAGAAAATCTTACTTAGTGTTGCTTTAAGTGAACTTAAGGAAGTTCAATTGTTCAATTGAATTTATCGAGCTGAAAGGAAAAAGGAAAAGCATAATGTAACCTCTTATGTAATTTCTTGCCTTGAGCCTACATTTACAAATGCATTATGAAAGTAACAATTGAATATAAGTGACCTGCAGTGCTGCATAAATCTCCAAGAGGCAAAAAACCTCCATAGTACTTTCTTTTGAAGAATCAAGGA